TGTGGTTGAGGACTGGCAATAAGTAAAAACTGGGAACAGTGTGAAGCGGGTATCCTGGTTGTATGGAGTGGCTCAAATTCTTCAGGAGCCTCTGGTCATGTCTTATGTTTTGTTTTAAATATGCTTTTATTGATTTCAGAGGGAGGAAGGGAGCAGGAGAGACAGATAGAAACATCAATGGAAGAGAATCATCAATCGGCTGTGGTTGAGGACTGGCAATAAGTAAAAACTGGGAACAGTGTGAAGCGGGTATCCTGGTTGTATGGAGTGGCTCAAATTCTTCAGGAGCCTCTGGTCATGTCTTATGTTTTGTTTTAAATATGCTTTTATTGATTTCAGAGGGAGGAAGGGAGCAGGAGAGACAGATAGAAACATCAATGGAAGAGAATCATCAATCGGCTGCCTCCTGCACACCCACTACTGGAGACTGAGCCTGCAACTCAGGCATGTGCCCTGACTCGGAATCAAACCATGACCTCTTGGTTCTTGGGTCAATGCTCAACCACCAGCTGGGCTCATGTTTTAAATATAAAGATGACTGTCGTGCACAAACAGACGGGCTGCATGACACCTGAGAAGCACTGCCAGGGGAACTTGGCAACATTGCAAGTTGTCTTAGAACTTGTCAATGCTTTCAAAAGGCGAGACCTGTACTTTGGCTTTAATACAAAGCACATGGACCTTTGCCTTTTTATTTATATAAACTTGTCAGCACCTAGCCTGCACTGGAGCAAGCCGATGCCAAGCGCTATAGCATCTCCAATTCAAAGTCTTGAGCTACAAAGCTCTAAATTTGGGTGCAAAGAGCCCCGAGGTAAATGTGATGTCTGGCTCTCTGGGTGAAAGAGCATAGATCCAGCTACGAACAATTCTAGCTTCACACAGTCTGCGGGGTGGGGCAGGCTGGGGTATTCACAGGATGAATTTGTGTGATGTAATGAAGCCAGTGATTTTGAGACGCGCGTGTGATATCTTGCTTCTCTGGGAGTTAAGTAGCATTAGCTTCTCTGAGATCAGTTTGTGTTTAGAAACTGAGCCATCATTCTGTTCTCAGAGAAGTGGTGTTGGAGACAATTACTTAGGGATGTTCCAGAAATTTCCTAATACAAAGATTAATTATAGTCATTTTTGGATTTCATGAAAACAGTTGTTTAAGAGAAAACGGCCACAAAACTGCTTTGTGATCATGCTCAATTTATCAAGGTACATGGAAATACAGTATAATTACTGTGGCTTTTGGTTATTTGAATTAAGAAGTACCAAACTCATTTTGCAGCTATTTTGGGAAATAGCAGGAAGAAATGACTAATATAATGAATGACTACTTTTTTTTGGTACAGATTGCAAAATACAAGCTTTTTTCTACTGAGGCGTGTGTATGTGTGTGTGTGGGGGGGGGGTGTTGAAACCAAGAGTATTTTTCTCTAAAAAGTTTTATCTCAGAAGGCAGCATTACATGGGAGGAGGAGGGAGAGAAAGAAATGTATTCTAAGACTATGTGTTCCAAGGTGGCACTTACAGGAAGGAGCCAACAGGTCTTCAAATTCTTGCCACCTCTGAGGATAAGCATGGGGCTTTGCCACTGGCAATCCCAGTGTAATCAAGAGAAGCCCTGCTCCAATGTGTATGGCTATTTCTCCAGCAAAACAGAGTGTGCTGCCTTATACATGTGCACTGTGCTTAAACCAAGAAAATGGGGTAGAATTTCATTTCAGACTCTATGCACATGCCTGGTGGGCAAGGAGGTCCCAGGTGAGCATGCCCTTGGGTCCAAGCTGGCAGATACAAAGAGGAAAAGAAATACCAGAAAACTCACCACTAACTTATTGCTTGTTCTTCAGGTTTTGACGTTTCCCACCAAACCTTTCTTCCCTTGTTTACTTTCAATGGCATCAAGGCAGTTAGCTGCTTTTTGTGATTTGTCCAGGGATTTTAGTTTATTCAGTGGGAGCCACAGGCAATAGTGGGCTTGCACCCTCTTGGCCGGCCCCTGAAGCCCCATTCAATTTTAGCTAATTCTTGCTTTCTGACACAAGGTAGTCCAAGTTCAAGACCTAAACTCGGCTTGTCTCCAAGAGTCTTGCTTCCTTTGATCGAAGAATTAAAAATGCAGATCTGCGTGAGAGGGTGCTTAAAGCTAGTGTGCAATGCTTCTTGTAGTGAGAAGAGCTGTGGACTGAAGTTGTGGGTTTGTTCTGATACATCCAATTCAAACCCACACCGAAGAGTTCTTCCTGCCCTTTTCCGGTTCTATGCTGGCTTCTCCTTTTCCTGCAGCTACACCTCTGTCTCCCAAGAATTTCAAAATATTTACTCATGTGCTTTAACCTCCAACATATGCAATATAGATTCAGAATCAGTACATCAATATAAAGTTCAGGATTTCTTTGCAACTAATTTTGTTTCACATGGTTTAAAGTTTATAAAATATATATACACAAAGGTACTCAGTTTCACTCTCATTCTTATGCTTTCTGTACAATTTCCACTGGTCCCTATAGGCAAGTGTTTTTGCTTATTTTAGGTTTATCCAGCCTGGATTTCCTTTTTGCAAAATATGGGGGGGGGGTGCATTTGTGTAGGTGTTATTTCCACTTCTTTCTTAGAGAACATGCTAACATACTATGTATACTCTTTTGCACCTCGTTTTTTCACTTAGCAGCATCATACCCTAGAGCTTATTCCATGCCAATTCACAGAGGCTGAAATGTCATCATCAGATGTGTTCTGTGTGGTGTGGAAAGGCACCCCTGATGCTCTAAGATGCCAGGCTGGACCTGGACCTGGACAGCCTTGACTGGCTCTGTGTACCACCCTGACAACAGGCCTGGACTAGCAGAATGCAACTCCTCATCATTATGATAGAAAACCACCTGTCCACAGCACCCCTCTATTTTATCCTCTCCCAGTTGGAGCCTCTGGCTTCCTCTCTTCTTTCTCTATCATGGGTAGAAAAATACAAAACTCAGAGGCAATCATTGGCCCTCCTCTGTCCACCTGTTGGCCCCCTCCCACCTCATCTTATTAATTTCCTTTGTTGATTTTCCCCAGAAAAAATACCCTAAGTCTTGTGCCTTATATTTATATTCTATACTAATAAAAGGGTAATATGCTAATTAGACTGGACATCTTCCAGACATCTTCTGGATGTCCTTCCGGACAAAGCCACATTGGCGGGGGCCAAGGCAGAGGTGGTTAGGGGCGATCAGGCCAGCCAGGGAGAGCAGTCAGGGGGCAATCAGGCTGGCAGGGCAGAGCAGTTAGGGGGCGATCAGAGCAGCCAGGGAGAGCAGTTAGAGGATGATCAGGCCAGCAGGGTAGCTGTTAGGGGGCAATCAAGCTGGCAGGGGAGCTGTGAGGGGGTGATCAGGCTGGCAGGCAGAGGCAGTTAGGTGCGATCAGGCAGACGGGCAGGCGAGTAGTTAGGAACCAGTGGTTCTGGATTGCAAGAAGGATGTCCAACTGCCAGTTTAGGTCTGATCCCTGTGGGGGGACATTGCCTGAGGGACTGTATATTTGAAATAAGTCAGATATATATATATATATGCCTATTTTCCATTGTAAGCCACCCTAAACAGGTACCATGTCAATGGTCTCCTCCTAGCATACGGGAAAGTATCATCAAATGCTCGTGATGGGTGTGGCCCTGAGATGCACTAGGGAAACTCTTATACAGTGAATGTTGGTGGTATGTGTTGCCAAAGGATTGATGTGATGGGAGTGTTCCTGGATTTCTGGCCAGGACCCAGTCTGACCAAAGGGCTCCCTTGGTCTCTGAGCCCCAAATGGGGTCTTAGATGAAGAGACCTGGGTGACAGGGCAGAGCACAGAGCTTTCAAGCAATCAGAATCTTCCCTATCCATTTTCACTCCCTCTGTTTTCTTTCCAGTTGTCTTAACAGTAAATGCTCTTGTTGCTAGGGACGTGGTCTTTAATTAATGGTCTACACTCTACACTGAGCCAGATCCAGGGTCTTTCTCTAGAAGCTGATGGAGAGGAGATATACTCTTTGGTTCTTGGTCACCTCACCAGGCAACTGAATAGCCTCTAGGGGCTGGGGCTTTTAGCTTTCCTCCATCATCAATTTCTACTTCTCTTCTCTGCTTTTTCTGACTTCCCTCCTTTCTTCCTTCTCCCTCCTCTTTTCCTTTTCTCCAAATCTATTCATTGTCCCATTGCTCTGCCATAAAACTGCCTAATATAGACTCTTTCTGTTTATTTGCTACCTTTTTCTTTGAAATAACAAAACATGCTTTCCAACCCTAAAAACAGACTTCAGAAATTGAAATAATGCTCTGAATAGATGTAAAGTTCACAAATGCCCTTCTTTTATCTAGAGGAGGGAACAGGGTGTCAAGCTGCAGGTATAAGCTTTTGGGTGTGATGTATGTCAATGGCAGCTACCAGTCAACAGAAAATTACATGCAGAGAAGTGTTGGCGTGGCAGGAACACCATGTGGAGAAGCTGGGGTGGCAAACATGCAAAATAAGAGATTCAAAAAAGGTGAGTAATGTTCAGAAACCAAATAAAAAGACCAGCGTGATCCCGATGACACACCAATAATACAAAAACTCACCAGAAATTCCTGGATGGTATTAGCTAAAATAATCTGTTGCAGTGACATTGTTCACCTACAGTTCGGGCTGAGATAAAAGCCATTCCTTCCATTTGGTTCATTCTGCCAGAGGGAACTAGGTTCATTAAGTTCCTGGAACTTGGGCTGCTAGGAATTTACAAGGACACCTTTGAATGTGTCAAAGGAGGATTGAAAGGTGACTGCTGGAACTTCAGCCCCCAGCGACCCCCAGTGCAGAAGGAAGAGGAGTTGGAGGTGGGAGGGGTGTGATTCTTGTTCAAACTATAAAGACCCCCCAGTCTGATCATGATTTCCTAAACATGCATTTCCAAAGTCTATATTCGCAGTTAAGTTGATATTGGGGTGAAAACTAGTTTTGGAGTCACTGTAACAAACTGAATTTTAACTGCCGCCTGTTATCTCTACAGGAGAGTGATATCCGATGTTCAAAATAATGATCCTGAACACTACAAAGTCACGAGGAGTCCTTTAAACCACCCCGAATTAAATCAAGTGCAATGTTCTTCTATTGTTAAGCACAGTGCAGCCCATTTCTTTGAGAGCCGGGAATCTCAACCTGCCTGGTTACCTCCGGGTGCCAAGCCATCTTGAACCTCGCTACTCAGTCAATGCGTGGCCATCCGCTCATTGCTATGGTCAGAAGCCTGGGGGTTGCACATGATGCCTCCCTTTCCCTCAGAACCACGCTCCAAACATATCAACAACTCCCTGCTTCACTTCACCTATTCCCACCACTCTAGGCTAGACAGCTGTCATATCTCACCTGCCTACACAGCAGTCTCTGGGACAGTCTCCTACCTCCCTCTTGCCTGCTTCCAGTCTGTTCCCCACAGAGCAGGGGAGAAAACCTTTAAGATGATCATTCAGATCAGAAGACTGTCTTGTTTGAAACCCTTCTGTGGCTTCCCTTCACGTACAGAAGGAGATCAAATCCCAGATCACGGTCTTCAGGGCCCTGCCCCAGATCACCTTGCATCCGGTCAGCCCAACTCCCTCTAGCTTAGACATAGGCCCTCTGTACGCAGAGCTGTGCCCCTGTCAGGGTTTCTGCATTTGCTGTTCCCTTGGCCCAAGATCCTCTTCCCATGACTAGGATTCTGCTTAGATGTCACCTCCGCAGAAGTCACCTAGTGCGGAACACCCCCTTGGAGTTCTATCAGGGCTCCCTAATGTCGTTTGCTGAGGACCCCACTGCAGCCTGAGCTCTCCTGTGAACAGGATGCCTCTGGATCACTCACGATTGAATAGCGTGCCTGGCACCATGCCTGGCACCATGCCTGGCATGTCACAGGTGCCTGAAAAGGTATGTCCATTGAATAAGCAAAACACAACTGCTTGTGAAGTGGAGGAGCCCAAGAGAGACGAGGGCTTGTTATACTGGTTTTCATGCATATGTAGGTAGTTCAGCCCTTGAAGGTTGTCATGTGCTTAGGGAGGTGGGACAACAAACAGACAGACATTGAGCAGCTACATCATGGAGAGGTGCCTGGTGATCATCACTGCAGGGAGGAGAAAAGACACCAAGATTCCCTGCCACCCCCCCACTGAACCTCAAGCAAGGAGCATGACTGGAGACAAGTGGTAAAGCAATGCAGTGAGAGCTGGCAGGATGGCTGTGACAGCCTCAGAGCACCTGCCATACAGGAGGTGAGGGTTCAGTGTTAGTTGGATCTGAAGTAACAACACCAGCTTGGGGGTAAACCTGAGGGTTAGGGTGGTTTTCCTCTTTCTTCCTTTGAGTCACGACACTTGATAAGTGAAGGGGCCAAAGCAGTCCGCTCACCACCTGGCCGGTCTCGCTCAGACCAGGCCTTTCCCCCGCTGTTGGCCACAGATTCACACAGAGGTTATGAGTCGTGCCTTCCAGAACGAATGCCATCAATACTCACTGCCCAAACAGCTGGCCATGGAGGCTGATGTTTGTCATTTAGAGATTTTAAGATTGCCATTTAAAAAGCGTACACACAGTACACAATACATACTGAATAAGGTGAGAGCTAAAAGCAACAATCCTAATCGTCTGACTCTTACTCAGGTATACATAACTCTATTGGATTCTCAGAAGTATTACAACCAAAGAAAGGGTTATATTGAATGAATTAAACATCTTTAGGCACCAACTACAGGCAGGAGATTATCATCTGAGGTCCTCCACGACTAAGCAATTGCTACACAAACCCACTCAGTTCACCAAACATGTTCAGACACAGATTCTGGTCATCGAAAAAGCCTTTTATCTCAAAAGCCACAGCAGAAGTGTATTTTCTAAACTACCAGCTACACTAAATCCCATGTCCACACACAATAGAGAATTGTGATGCTCTCCTGTATTCAGCGCCCTCGTACGTATGCCAAGGATTGATTGTCTCTGTGAACCAGCACGAGGTTTGCCCTGTGAGCGGGAAAACACCCCTGCCAATTTAAATGCTTAATCATCACCTGAGGAAGTGTCCCATGCAAGTCAGATGTTTGGTGAGCAGCACTGTCTTCTCGCTGCCCATGCTGTGGTTGTAGATGACAATGACGCTAGCGTATCTCGATACTCTCAAGATGACTGTGCCTTCCTGATGCTTAGTCCGTGTGCTTCGTGGTATTACTCACCATGTACATCTGTCTCTTTCAACAGATTACAAGCATATCAGGTGCACAGCCCAAGTCTAGCAAAGAAGTTTATACACAGCAAATGCTCAATGCATTTCCACTTAAGGATGAAAATGCATCTGTAACCCTACATCATCCAGTATACACATGCCTAATGGTGATTGATAGTGTTTCTTGTGTTATAAATAAAGCTGATCTCCTGCATGTACGTGTGGATGAATGGATGAAGCGTCAGGAAGATATCACTGTTTGTTTTTTTAATATATTTTATTGATTTTTTACAGAGAGGAAGGGAGAGAGAGAGTTAGAAACATCGATGAGAGAGAGACATCGATCAGCTGCCTCCTGCACATCTCCTACTGGGGATGTGCCCGCAACCCAGGTACATGCCCTTGACTGGAATCGAACCTGGGACCTTTCAGTCTGCAGGCCGACGCTCTATCCACTGAGCCAAACCGGTTTCGGCGATATCACTGTTTTTATATGTAAAACAAAGAGAATTGTGCTCAGTTACAATGCCTTAGTCTGGGGTATTGCACGGAATATGTCTGTAGAATCACATCCGTTGTCCAGTATGTTACTTGTTATATCCAAGGATCCTTCTGCATAGCTCTTCAGATGCACAAACCATTTGCATGAACACACACACACAGAGTGGGAGTAAAACAGTGCTGCTAACAGACTGGCCCAGGGCCACACAGCAAGAGATGCTGGTAGACTTGCCTTTGCTTTGAAACCAAGAGGGTGTGGGAAGGGCGGTGGTGACCCAGAGAAGGACATTTTCTGGCAGTTAGTGAGTGACCGGAGGAGTTTAAAAACCTGGAGGGAACTCAAAGGCCCTTAAGAGGGGAAAAAAATAAATGAAAATGTCCAGCTGCTCATTAATCACCAGGAGCTGTCTGACCTGGGGGGTGGGGTCCACATTATTGCTATTATAAACTATACAAACGTAAAGAAGAAAGTAATTACCTCCTTCATACACTGAAAAGTTAAATGTGGAACTGCTTGTTGCCATGGCCACACCGGACTGTTTACAGCGTAGGGCTTCTCCTGGCCAGGCAGGGCCAATTCAGTAGTTGGGGGGAACCCAGCACTTCTCCTTTAATGACATTCATTAGGGTTCCTTTCTTTTAGTAGGTCCTTTCTTTGAAAATAAAAGCCAATTGATTATGCACATACCTTCACAAAGAAGGATACTACAGGAAAGAGAAGGGTGAGACTGTGAGTCAGTAGCCCGTGATTATCGAGGTGACATCAGCTCAACTTCCTTAGCTGGGAGTGAAGGTGTCGCCAGGCCCAGAGGTCAACAAAATGATTCCACAGATTACTCTTGATTCTTGAAACCCATGATCTGTTAATGATTTCATCACTGAACCTATCCTCAGGATTCTGCTGAGATGCAGGCACGGGTTGGTAGGTGTCTGTGGACAAACACAGAGGAAACAATGCAAAGCCTAATTTAACAGGGATAGACAAGCCCAATGACTCATCAAAATCTTTAAAAATTAGGTTGAAATGAACTGGTGTGATGTGAAGACAATGATGACATCTCCATGACTAATGAAATTGTAACTTCATCTCGGGGTGGAGTGGGGAGGGGAGGCTCACGCCCACTGGCCAAAGGTTGGGGGACTTCATCACCCAGACAACCACTCTTCCGTTTAAGAAACAATCCTTTTCTCCGTTTTTCTTGAACGTCCTGGTAACTTTTTGTTTTGCAGGAATAACAAGGTATGCCCTTAAGAGGAGCGCTGCAGCCTTGGTTTGGGGGTGATGAAAGGACCATAACCACATATGCATTCTAGGATGCCATGTCAAAAAGGAAGAAAAACGAAGGCTCCTTCCCCGTACTGTGCTGAGCACTCGTCAGGTTGTTGGACCAGTTAGTTATATGGGCAGATAGGAATCCACCCACCGCTGACTCCAGTCTGCCCATGGGTCTCACCCACAAACTGACCAGCACCTCTGCGAGGAAGAAAGGGAAGACTTGCAAAGTAAGGATTCAGAAACTTTTGTAACAATATCAAAACATAATGCCATGTCTGTTGAATCTCATAATAAAAAAATTGGCTGGTATTTCGTTGGTTATTTTTATTTCATTTTTAAAGTAATTTATCTTTCTTACGTTTGACAAAACTATCATTCCATGAATGGCTGGAAGTTTAAATGAAATATCAGTCCTTCACTGTGGGGTTGGTGGTCTCAGTCACACAGACAGGACCCACAAGTGCCTCCTTAAGATGGGACGACAGCACTGCCTAGTGAAGACTTACCCTCCCAGAGGGATTGATTTGATGGCTTACTTTTTAAGCTATTTTTTTTGAAACCATCTCTAGGCATTAGCTTTTCTGTTCTTTTTGTTGGGTAAAAGAGAGTCATGGAAACCAGCTCAGGTTTTTTCACAAATGGCCCCTGTGCAGCCTTCCTGAACTCTGTCCTGAGGCTGCCGGCTGGGGAGCTGCCCCACAGGCTCTGGGCCCGTTGAGGACATGATCTGCTCTTGGACAGGGTCCAGGAGAGACCGGCTTGTGCCAAGAGCCTCTGGGAAGCCGCGCCCTCCCATCTCTGAGTACTGCCGGAGCGACCGTGCAAGCAGCGTTCAATTTACAGAAAGGTTATAGCCCAAGTTCAATGATACACTAGTTGTTAGGAACTTAGAACATGTTTTCATGGAAATGATGTCAAAAATTGAAATTAGGTTCTCACATAAACCTATTAAAGCTCATTTAACCCACAATAGAGCTAAAGTTTTAAAGGAATAGTTTAAGAATATTACTCTAAATATCTCTTAAGCTTGACAACATCTCTTCATCCTTCTGCTGCAACCTTCTCACTGTCTTCAGCCTTTAGACTTGCTCACACCAAATTACTATCTTTTTTTTCTTTTTTTTTTTTAAATAGACTTCAGAGTGGAAAGGAAAGGGAGAAAGAGACAGAAACATCAATGGTGAGAATCATTGATTGTTTGCCTCCTGCATGCCCCACAATGGGAATCAAGCCCGCAACCTGGGCATATGCCCTGACCGGGAATCAAACTGTGACCTCCTGGTTCATAGGTCAACACTCAACCACTGAGCCATGCCAGGTGGGGTGCCAAATTATTTTTCATTCTGCAGTCAGAGTGATGCTTCTGAAATAACTCTCCATGGCCTTCCTGCCTTACCACCTTCATGGGCACCCTAGGAGCCAAAGTTCAGCCTGGCTGTGTACCTGGCTGGGCCACCTGCCCTGCTTTGGTTGACAGCTTTGCCTGCTTTCCATCAGCCAGAGCAGGAGGGGACATCCCAGGACTGTGGCTCCTCTGCCTTCTCTCCTCCTTCTGGATTATCAGACTCCTCTTCCCTTTAGCTGGTCCCACCTGCTCATCTTGGAAGAGCTGATGAATACTGGCAGGAAGGGAACTTCAGACCATATCACATCAAAGATGGGAGATATAACTCTAGGAGTTTAGCCAAGAAATAGTTATTAGAGCATCATAATAACCATCATCAGAGGTTATGACGTCCCTCATAACCTCCAAGGTTGGCTTTTCATGTCTCCAACGGGCTGAGCTAGGATCCCTAGATACAACTTAAGATGCAATGGTTTAGGATAGAATGTTCTGCCCCAATCATCTAGCAATGGTGTGAATTCAGCAAGTCTGTCTTGGAGGTGTTCAGGCCAGATCCATCTTCAGTGATGCTGTAAAGGGAGGTGCTATTTGGATGGAAGGTTGAGCTCCATGGTCTGAAATTCTAAGAGAATCCTTTGCTTCATCTCCTGAGGTTTCTTATGCCCCAAGGATGGTCCTGGGATCCATCTGGTAGGTGGCCTGAGGCAGACAGCAGCAGTTTGCAGCCCTTAGCTGAGAGAGCACTTTTTGAAGGGCATATCCCTCCCGGTTTATTTCTTGGGATAATCATAAAGGGCTGAGGTGGATGCCTGCATTGGCCTTGTCCTTTCATATTCCAAAATTCTTTGTTTTCAGCTTAGAACTGGAAGTAAAAATAAGCCTTTTACTTTATTGTGGCTTCTTCCACTCATTTACATTGTTTAAAAATGATTACTTCTTCCAATTCAAAGAGCTATTTTATCATTAATTCACTAAATGAGGCTTAATGCTTTGAGTTTAATGCTTTTGAGCATTCATAAGTCTTTATTCAGACCTGCAGAGTGATATTCAGATATACTCACAAGCAGGTATTAAAATAAGTGCGTTTATTTATTTTTGTTTGTTTATTCAGTCATCTGTGTCATTTTCAAGTGCAGTGTAAAAGAAATCCTCTCACTTCTCTATAGATCTCACAAGAAGAGAAATGTAACTTCTATCAGAGAGGCAGTTCTGCGAATTTGAGGGCACATTGTTGGGTTGAGTGGATTAGAAGAAAGCATGCTGCTTAAACAAAGACACTTGAATTTTCCAAATCTTTATTATTATTATTATTATTATTATTAGAACTAGGAACAAAGTCCCAACAATAACTGCATACTTAATTTTGCTTCAAATCCTCTTTTTCCTAATAGAGCTTATTACACAAAGAGAAGTCTCAAAATGCGTTTTGCCTTGTTTCAATGCAGCAATATTTGCCAAAGACTCGGGCAATCCAAGGTTTTGCTTTGAGTCAAACAATCAGGAATCAAATGGTTATTGAGGCCCTTCTCATCTGGGCATATTGTTTCTGAGATGGGAAGCTGAGACCCAGGGAAGGGAAGTAATATTCCCCATATCCAGGCAGAAGTTGCAATGGATTATCACACTCAGGAAAGTAACTTCAGTGAGTACAGGGAAATTGTTATTAGGGAGGAAAAGTACAAATAAATAAATATATAGAAACTCTTAAAAGCAGTGGCTAATCTTGGTTAATAAGCAAGAATATTTCCCTTTAAGATGGCCAAGGGCATGACTGGGGCATGGCCCAGGGCATGTCCTCATCTCACTGTCAGTCTGTAGCATCTGGTGACCTGTGTGTGGATGAGTAGATCTGCACCTGCTTAGTGATGATATGCAATATACAAGATATATGTGCACTTTGTAAAGTTCTGTTTGCCAAACTCATAGTAATTTATGTAATCATACACATAATGCATTTTAACCAAATACGCAAAGACGATTTTTATAATGCCACTTAGGGTCTAGATTTAACTTAAACCACTACTTAGTCTATCTCTCTTAATAGGATCCTAAAAGGGAATTTTATGACAACATTATCAGTAGCATTTTGCTGATAATTAGAATAACAATAATAATACCGAGATATTTTTTTCAGTAATAATGGTGTTATTAATGAGATTTTTATGAAAGACAGACTTCTTTGGTATAATTATAAAAATTGATCTTTTGCATTTTACTTATTCACTGAAATCAGATAAGTGGCTTAACTACATGTATTATTTCTAATAAATATTCAAAAGAATGCATTTAAACAAGGCTCCTCATTCTATTCTTGCTCATATTCCTTGCATTTAAATAAAAGTGTAATTGCTCTGCTTTTTAAACTGCTAGTTTGGATTAGCTGTCTAACCTGTACAGTGTAGCTGTTTGCTGTTTGCATTTTTAATAGCTTTATTACCATTTGGTGAAGCCTTAATTTCTGACTCTCTTGAAGAGTCCTGCCTTTAAGTCAGCACTACAATTTAACCAGCAATAATCTGTCAAGATAAGATAAAGGCCCACACCAGATGAAACGCGGTATTTTTGCGGGGCTTTCTGTCATTGTTAAAGGCAATCTCTCGGTATGTCAAAATGTAACCTCTGAAAGTTTTCTAAACTTTGCAGCATAATTTTACAGCTCATGTTCTTAATCAGTGGCTCCAGAATGCATTCTCTTGTTCACCAGGGAAACAATTAGAACCTATGCGTAGTTATATGTGAATATATACACTCAAGGACATTAGCAGGAGTGTATAGTTACATACTAGTACATGTTGATGTGTATGTGCATTTGTACACATGGGAACACTGCAAGTAGGAGCAGAAAAGCTTTAGTTTTCCAGCAATAATAATGACTTTATTTTCTAAGAACTGGAGACTATACATATATGTATATATGCTTGACTTTTAAAATTATGTCAAACATGTAAAAGTGGAGAGAGTAGTGTGATAAACCCTCAAGATGCCATAACCCAATTCCAACAATTGCCAATTCATAGAGATTTTGTTCTCTTCATCCCATCTGTGGATCTTTTAAAAATAAGGAATCATTGGTAGTTGGGGGCTTGGGTGGAGGTGGGCAAAGTGGGGGAAATGGGAGACATCTGTAATAGCACCAACAGTAAAAATAAATAAGGAATCATTTCTTTTAAAATCATGATTACATACATAGTCACCCCTGAAAAACTAAAAGTAGTTCTTAATATGATGAAATATCTAGTCAGTATATAAAATTTCTAATTGTCTCGCTTAATTTCATATATCTAAATTATGAATGCCATAAATATATTTTTTTCTGTTTAAAAAACCTTTTTACTTGAGCCAGGATCCAAATAAGGGATCCTACATTGTGCTTGGTTGAAATGCTTAAGTCTTTTTCAATCGGTAGGTCTCACTGCTGATTCTCCTCCTCCTCCTCCTCTTCCTCCTCCTCCTCCTCCTCCTCCTCCTCCCCCTCCATCTTCTCTTACAATTTGTTTGTTGCAGGAAACAGTCATTGATCTTTAGGGTTTCCCACTTTGGGGGTTTTCCCATGGGGGAAAGAAGCAATTCCATTCCCGAGGTGGTTCTGTGTCTTATCACAAGGGGGTAATGCTTGGCTGTCTCCCTCTTTCTAATATTATTGGCTGCTGCTGCTGTGTTGAGACACACGGATACATTTAGGGTTGGAACATGGTGCTATTCGAACTGTCACTTCTCCTCCCCCCTATTAATAAGCTGGAACACTTCTATAAAGAGAAAAATCTCCCCACATTATATCTGGTTGCCCAGTTGTGTAGTTTATATTGGATAGGCAGGATAAATATTTGATACCCTCCCTTTGTTTACTAGTTTTCAAAACAATGAATTATTCATTAGCATCCTCTAGTGGTACCAATTATTTATTTATTTTTAAAGTTTCATTAAAATCTCATGGATTTAGACATATGTGTTGTGCTTCAATCCA